GTGGCCCTTGTTACCCTGTGTGACCCGCCGCCCTGACTCCTGCAGTCCTGTTTCCACACCGCCATCTTTCTTTGGTGTCCCGGCCACCAAGAAGCAGCAGAGGGAGAGATCACAGTTGTTTGATGTCCTGTCACCAACACAGGGCAGGCTGGCTGAAGAGAGAAGTGAGGGGAGCGAGGAGACAGCCCTCCACGCCCGGGCACCTGGGAGCTACCGGCCACAGGGACATTCCCTTTCGCAAATGTCTACTGATACCGAGTCCAGGACGCGATGTCAGCACCCTGTCTCCGGGGCCCGCATGAGAACTTGCACCGTCTGTCCCATCAGCACATGCGAGCCAGGCTGGAATGTCAGCCAGGACACAGCATCCACCTCAGCCCTGAACTTCCCTGTCTCCGAAGGACAATTAATTACAAAGGCCTCAGGGTAGGTCGAGGGAAGACGACTGTGTCCTGCCCACGGCGCCTCCACTGCCCCTCGGTGGCTGGCCCGCCCGCCCGCCGGCCTGCCGGGGGGCGGGGAGGGGAAGAGCAGCAGTAGATCATGGGGGGGCGGGGGAGGAAACCAGATTTTTTGTGTGCGCGCCTGCCCTTGTATAATTCTATTCTCACTGTGAACTCATCCATACACAAAACACAAGGACAATTTTTTTTTAAGAGAGAAAAACCACGGGGTAGGTTGTGGTAGCAGCAGGCTTGCAGCGGCGTGTTAAAAAGGATGGTCTTTTCACCAAATCATTTCACAGAGGCAAAACAGACAAACACAAAGCGTCGAGACTTTTTCTCCGACATTAAATGGAGTAACTGATAAGGTCAGACATATGACACCCGAAGAGATGAATCCGTGAACTCTTGAAGTCAAAGGGCCTCTCTGTGCGGAGCAAGAATCTTTCAAAGAGAAGAGATCATAGATTCCCACCGAATCGGCTTTAAACTTTATGAAGCAGGAGGAGAAAAAGCTCTAAGTAGGGAAGCTTGACAGAAGAGCCTTGAACTATTTTCTGAAGGAAAGATGACACCCTCCCTAGGCCATCACAAAACATCTTTTTTTTTTTCTAAAGGTTCTTCTGAACTTTGATATCCGCCAAGACACTGCCATTGAAAGCGGTATAATTATGTGCTATAACCACTGTAGAAAATGCTTTGTTCGCCTCCACAAAGGACAATAAGCAAAGTCAAGCGACGTCGGGGAGTCTTTTTCTTTAAGAATGTTGAGAAAGGTCACAGGATGCTCTAACTAATAAAGCAGGCGAGTAAGGAGGTTTGAAAGTTGTTCTCACTGTGCTTGAATGCGCCCGATGACAAAAAAAAAAAAAATAACCAATAGAGGGTAAACCCACGGCCTGCTTCATTATCTCCATCAACACCTCCAGCCTGACAGGGCCGGCTTCCCAGAGCACGTGGTGTGCACCCCCCACCTGCGCCCCACCGAGAAGTGGGGCGCTTCCATCCAGAAGCTGGAAGAGGAGGCCTCTGGGGTGCCACACCAGCACACAGCGCGGAACCCGAAAAACCTCCGGGTCCGCCACGTGCGCCCATCTATCTGGAGACCATTCGTTTCGTCTCCTGAAAGATCAATTTGGCTTGTCAGAGGCGGACTGGCAAGGAGAAGCGTACGCAGGCCTCTCCCGCAGCCACCCACCAAGCTCGTGTCGTGTGATCATTTCAAGGCTCAGCCGCTTTGAGGCCCAAAGCCCGCTCACAGCGGAGAGCGGCTGCGCGGAGCGTTTCCCAGGCTATCACTCACATTGAAGTGTCTATGTGGAGCAGAGGGTAGCACTTCCTAAATCCACCTGCCCTCGTTTCCCTCTCGAGAGCGTTGGCAAAGGTGGCCTAATGGGCCAAGTCTTCCGTGAACATCTCGTGGACATCGGGAGTGGGCTGGGCATGGAGGGGGTGGGGTGGGGAGATAGGGTGGGGTGGGGTGTGGTGTTAGGGGTGAGTACACAGGGGGTGGGGGGTCGCTTTTGCATCTTCGCTTTCGCCAGGGAAAGTGAGACCCCAGTTCATGGTCTTCCGTCCCCAAACACGGGTCTTCAACATGAGGGTGAGAGAATCTGGGCTAGGCTGGCCCCGCGGACTGCCTGGCTGAAGATGTGTGTGCCTCCTGATACCCAGCGTACACTGGGAGACAGACCTCCCCACCCCCGGGCCCCCATAACCTCCTCTGTGGCTACCAATAAGAGGGAATCAAAAAAAAAAAAAGCAATAAAACCCAACTCACTTGTTCCTAAAGCCGGAGGCATCAACTTGCAAGTGTCTGTCCTGCCCCAAACCCCCACCTCAGACCATCCCCTGCTCCTGGCTGCACGGATATCAAAGTGCTAATGGAGTCAAACAGGGTGATGCATTTTGGGGTCCCTTAAGTGGTGCCATTAACCTTTGCGAGTCACAGAGGTCGGGCACCTAAGTCTGCTTTGCAAAACCTGTAAAGCAGCCTCCGAAATTGACAGCGATCATTACCTCCTCTTGTGCCACAGTAGTGAGGGAAACAAAAAAGCCATAAAATGCAGCTCCTCTTGCTCCTGAAGTCAGAAGTATGATTTAAAAACTGGGAAGGAGTCCCAAACCCCCGTTCCCGCCCCATAAAAAAAAAAAAAAAGAAAAACGTTGGAAGCGCTTCAAAGCCAAGTGCGAATGAAGCATACACCTTTACACCTGGAAAGACAAATTTATTGTTGCCAATCTCATTAAATGTGCGAAGGAGCGAGATGGAGGCTGGAACCGAGCGCCCCTCCCGGCATACCTTGGGGCTCACCTGCCACCAGCAGGCGCGGGCTCTCCCCGCCCAGGCACAAGTCTAAAGGGTACTTCAGGTCTCCGGCGCCTCCTTTCACAACCCCTGCCTGCCCCAAGTCTGAGTACGGGCCAAGAAGCCTGGCCACAGTAAGCAGGAGAAGCTCCCTGGTCACTTAGGAGTCCTGGCTCAGCTCCTGCTTCCATCGGCCCCACCCGTTCCGAGAAACACAGTATGAAGTTTTAGGCCAGCACATGCTTTTTTTGTTCCGTGCCTATCCACCTCATGACGCTCACTCACCTCCAGTGAGTTCATTTTCCTGCAACGCTTGGCTGAATCATCTAGGACAGAGAGATGGGGACGTGCATGGGGCTGTTCCCTATGTCCACGCACAGTGGCTGGGCAGCGGGAGGACTCCGTCAGCAAGATGCTGGAGTGACCCTGGACACCCAGTTGGGTCAGCCCAAGCCTCGGCGGGACCTGGCCCCGCCTCCCGGGTCAAGACTCCCGGACTGTGCGGCGCCATCTTGGTTCAAATCCAGAAGGCGCTGAGGTGGAAGGTTCTGGGCCCCACCGTGGTCTCCGCGTGGCGGGGGGGGGGTCTTCTGTGGCAGGGAAGGGGGTGCGGATGGGGGTGGGCCTGTGGGAACTGTGGCTGGAGTAGGGATCCTGCTTCCTTCTTGCCACTGTTCCAGAAGAATCCACGCCCTGGCTGCAGGAGGAAAAGCCCAGAGTTCTCCCCCACCCCCCCTTAACTCCTTGGAGTCAGTGACAGGTGACAACATTGCCCCCGCGGGCCCGCGAGGGACCCATTTCCAACCAGGGGAGGTCTAGACACCCGAAATATGTGCAAAGGAAGAACTTGACCTTGGAACCCGCCGAGCACCTTGGGACAGCGTTTTAAAGAAGGCTGGTGCCTGCCACCCCAGAAGGATGGCCATGGCAAACCCTCACAGGCTCACTCACACGCTCAAACACTCTTAGCTTCAACTTCAGAGCAAGAGACTCGTTTGAAGGGGCCGGGAGAGGGGAGTAAAGAAGCTCTTAATACCGTTCCTTTGAAATACTTAGCCATCCTCACCAACAGCCTGAGGACGAACCTGCTAGAACATCCCGACATCCCGACCCCACCGTGAGGTCGCGGCTGCTGCAACAGGCTTCCAGATAGTGGCGCAGAACAAGAAGTTTCCCACATTTGAAAGTGCTGAGCCAAAGAAAACTTAGTCTACAACACGTTTGGCAAGAAAAACAAACTGGTTTCAGAGAGCAGGGAAGCAGTGGCTGGCGGCCGTCAAGCGCAAGAGAAACACCCCCTCTTTCCACCTCGTGCCACATCCCAACCTCCAAGTCCCGTGGTCTCAGCTAGCAGAGTCAGCAAAGGCCCGGGGGCGGGGTCTTGCTGGCGCCCCGCCAGACTAAGGGTACCCCATCAGCCCCAAGGGTGCCCATCAACCTGCAGCGGCTCCCTGTCAGTCTCGACAATACATCTGCCTCGTGGCCACACCCCTCACAAGTGCAGACACTGCTTTCTGGGGATCATTTACACACGCGAGGGCCTAGGACGCGCGTGTTGTCCACAACCACGAGCAGAGCGAGCCCAGCGTGTGGCCACTCGGCCGTTAAAAAAGAAGAAACCGTGGCTTTGGGGAGCGCGCGGCGGCTCTCGGCGAAGGAAGAAAGTGAAGACAGTGACCGGATGGGCGCGCTCATAGAAGGAATATAAATAACCACAGACTACAGGCTGGCAATATAACAAAAATAACTCCTGCGCTGGGTGGTGGGGGGCGGGGGGAGTGAGAGATGGGGCGCTGGCATAGGAGCTGCCGGGAGGGCGAGGGAGCAGGTGCAAACGTCCAGGTGTGAAGCCGCGCTCCAAAAATCCCGCCGTTAAGTTAACGAATGGCGAACGAGCGACATTTGTTTGAAAAGGTTGGAAACCCCGGGCTCACTCCCCATCAATTCTCAGAAAACAAGCACAGAGCTCCCGTCAGCTCAGCCCCGGCTCAGAACCAGGGGTGTGCGAGGCTGGGGGGCGGGGGCCGGGCCTCTCGCCTGCACAGGAAGCCTCTGAGTGTGCCCCACCGCCACTTTGGTTCCCCTCGGCAAGGTGGGAGTGGGTAAGGAAAGCGAGGTGGCCCCCTGCTCACCGTTGGGAGGGGTTTCTGGGACAGAGCGAGACGCCAGCAGCCCACGCGACATTTCTAAAGAAAGTGGCCCCTTTTCCAGGCAGAGGGGGGTGAGCAGAGACGCAGCGGGGCTCCTACCTCAAAATCGTTGGCCTTGTTGTAGTGCATGTTGAGGGCCCGGTAGAGCTCACAGTCGCGGGTGATGGCCAGCTCCTCGGTGCTGGTGACCCCGTCGTTGATGGCCTGGCGCGCGTACTTCTCCATCTGGATGTAGTAGAACTCGCGGAAGTTGCTGAACCACTTGATGAGCTGGGAGGTGATGCATCTGTTGAACTATTGAACGGACGCGCGAGAGGGTAAGAAGGCGGCCATATTGGTTTTCCTCGGGGCGTCAGAAGCATCTAAAATCCCCCCTCCCCACCTCCCTGGTGAGCTGTGTTTGTCATTCTGCCGAAACAGGGCCAGGGCCAGGACAGACTTAACCCAGTTGTCGCACAACCTGGGGGCCCCCGGCACCCCATGGCAAACCCCCACACTCCGGAAGGCGAATCAAGGCCCGATGCACGTGATTCTCGTAAGACCAATCTCTCGCGTTCCACTTTTTCTTCGTCTTTTGGTAGGAAAAGCCTCACGGGCATATTTCTCAGGTGCCAACGGTGCTAAGCCCCGGGCACCCCCATGAGCCCGATTTTTTTAAGTGAGAATTCACATCTGCACAGATTCGACACGTTTAGTGCCTTAGTGCGGGAGGTTTTCACACCCAGGGGGCAGACGTTGGCATGTGCTTGTGTGTTTGGTCCCGGGGGATTCCCACAGCTACGGGTGCGGACTGGGTGACCCTCGTGGGCAGGGGAGTCAGCCCAGAAGCCGCTCAGACTCCCACAGCCCTCAGTGAACGCGGCCCAGCCCCTGCCCGCTGGGAGGTGCGGCTTAGACGTGCCACACAGATGGCGGAGGAGTCTTTATTACATTTTTAAAAACATGCCAAGTTACTATAACATGATTACGTTCGAAAACTTTGTTTGCCAAGGTTTCCCGATGACCTTTGTGATGAAGCCGCCCCCTCGAGCCCCACACGTGATGTTATTCTCATTGACAGCCTCTCTTTACTTAAAGGACAGATGCGTCTCAACTTGCCAAGTCAAAACCAATAAATCCTCGGCTTTATTTCAGGCAGGCTGACAGACAGCCCCTGTCTTTTGTCATCGCAGCTTTCCCTTCCCTGGGCCCCCAGAAAAAGATGTACATTCATCAGAAATCAACAAAGACCCCCTTATCAAACACGGGCACGGGAAGCCTCAGGTTCTAAGAAGTCGCCGCTAACGTGTGTCAGCGCTGTAATTACTCCACGGAAAGTTGTTTCTCCACTAGCAACGATAATACATGAATGAAAATTTATGGAAGGAACAAGGAAACAGAAGCAGGGAGACTGGTGTTTCTCCCAAAAGGGCAACTTGCATCATAATTGCCATGGAGTTGCAAGGGCCCTTACAGATAATTGACGAGAAAATGATTAAGTCATCAGCAAATCGCTTCTGCTTGCAAGAGTTCAAACATGTACTTAACCTATCCAAGAATTATATTTTCACTCTGTGTGTCTGCACTGCCTCTATTCAGCCTTGCGGGGAACCCGATTAAAAAGACAACTGAAAGACCCCCCTTATCTGATCTTCTCCTTGCCGATTTCAATAGAACTTAAACCCATTACGATTTGCTGAACTTGGAGTTCTTGCCATTTTATCTCAGCAGTAAAATACACTGTCCAAATTTCCAGACACTGAGATAAGACCCACAGGCCCCCGTGACGGCTTACTGTTCCTTTTTAATTCTTTTAGAATAAGAAACAAAACATTACAAAATGATAGCAGGCCATGCATTGGGGAATGAAAATTGCTTTGACATGGAGATTAGGCTTCTGCATTGTTACAAGACATTGTCTCATATGGACAAGACTACTGTAGAGGAAAAAAAAAATAGAAGGGGATTTCTTTTTTTTTTTTCTAGAATGGTCATGAATGACCTAATGGGCAGGACAAAAAAAAAGTAAGTGCGTTTGCCATTATTTAGGAACGGGACCTAAAGGGAGATTTAAAGCGTATTGTTAGCACATGGAAATACCAGCCAGACAGAATGGGCAAAACAACAGCCTCCCCCGACCAGAAAAGCGAAATAGCCAACACAACAGCCTGAAGGATAGCCATTTCTCCCCTCCGATCAGAGGGCACCGAAACCCTTGCCGGCCACGAGGAAAAGCCGGCCCCCTCCTCTCCGGGAGGTTCACACGGAGTTGGGGGGCGGGTGTAGAGAAAGGGTTCAACTTTAAAGAGTTAATCCCCCCCCCCCACTCGGGTCTGTAGTGGCTTACAAGAAAAGGATCAATTGTTCTATAAAGGAAAGCTCTGTAGTGTGTTAATGTGTTACTGCAAAAACTAATCGCTACAATAAAGAAGCTGTGTTTCCACAGCGCAGGTCTCTGTGACTTTGATTAATGCTTCCCACGGGACATCTCAGCCTCAATATGGGCTGAAGAAACTTCCTAAATATTCAATGAGCATGGTCAAAAGATGTATAAAACAAATCAATCTGACACCTTAATCTGGCTAGGCAGCAGTTGACTTAAGGGGTGGAGCAATCAGATACATCATTTAACACCGCCGCTGGAAAACCCAGAGGCCTGTGCTCTTCCAAGCTGAAATGACGCTGGGTCTGCTTTCCTCAGTGGCCCAACAGTGGGGTGCGGGAGAAGGGGCCCACCCGTGCCGCTCCCGCTGGGCCCTCTCTGTGGGTTTGAGGCCAGAGTGGCTTTTTTTTTTTGTCTGGCTGGATGTTCTGGTGAGGGACTCAGGAGAACGGGAGGCGGTAGATTTCAGGAGTTATGGAAGTCGCCCTGGTTTCCAGGCCCCTGGAGAACTCTCTGTGGGGGGCTCCCCTAGCTGCCTCTTCCCAGGCTAAGTTAAGAGCATTTATCTCTTGCCTAAGTGGAAGTCACTCATGGGGAACTGAGAAACAGCCAGGAGATGTCCTGGCGATGCTGACTCTCTAGGGTTTGAGGGGACCATCTCCCACCATCCGCAGACAGCTGGGGTGGACGAGGTTTCCCTTCTTCAGGAGACAAAATATTTTTGGGCCCTCCCTGGTGGCGCAGTTGGTGACAGCACAGCACTAAAAAGCTAAAGCCACTGCAGCGTGAGTTCGATCCCCGCCTGCCCTGGAGGTGACCACATGGCGCGGGAGACCTCTCCTGACCTGCCCGCTGCTCCCCTCAGTAGTGTAATTCGTCAGTCAGCCTGTTTTGCTCCCCACTCTGTCTCTGGGGAATCCTCTCACCGCCTCCACCCCTCTGGTCTGTACCCCAGTTCTGTATGCACAAACAAATAAATAAATCTTAAAAATAAATTTTCCACTCATGTTGCTTCTCCTGGTGGTTCATTTGCAAAACCATCTTCTGATGGCTGTCGGAGGTGAGCTGACTTTGTGATTTGGGGAGGAACCTTCTGCTGGAAAAGGCATTTGCCCAGAACCAAACTCGAGCGTGTGAGGGTATGTGCTGTCCAGATTCAGAGTCTGGGCTTTCCTTAACGTGAAAGAAATCCAAGGATGACTGCCACTGTGTTCTAGAAAGTTCTGGAACACGTGGCTGGCCTGGGCTGCCCCTTCTGCATACGACTACCCTCTCTCATCAGTGTAAGCTGCAGGAATACACATTCACTTATTACCAAGCCAAGAAAAAACATAATGAGGAAAGTTGGCATTCTCTAATTTATTCCAGAAAGAACAGAGAAGTGACCTTTGGTGATTTTCTGCTTTGCACGATAAGCCCTCGTGTGCCCTCCATTAGGGTGGGAGCTTGGGGGCGAAGGAGGCCCACGTGGACTGTTAAGTCCCCTCCCAGGATGTGTAGAGGATGCACAGAATCTGTCTACAGAGGATTCGCGCTTTTCTAAATCCATCCTTCGCCCAGGTAGACTGTTGCTATTTACAGAGTGGTGATTTGGGAACCTTTTCTTGTGGGTTTACATGGCAGCATATTTATAAAGCTACAGCCCAGGCATGAGTCTCAGGTGCCCCCACCCCCCCACGCTCAGCCCTCCCACATTCACACCTATTGCTCAAGATGGCTGCTTGTCACCGCCCTGATGACCACTATCTCCTCCCTTGTGACGCTCTCTGGGCTCCCCTGAATGAAGGCTCCATACAACTAAAATGAGTGAGTATGATTACTACATCACAGCCCTGGGGGCTGGTGGCGGCCCCCAGCTGGACAGGGCGGCTGTGGACACACACACACCCGCGCCCTTAATGACCTCTCCCTCTTCTGCTGCCCCTCTCGGAATCAGAGTGTGAGGGAGGAGCCCAAGAAGAGGAGCTTTGCCAGCGTCTGCTTGGCTCTAGAAGCTGGCCTGTCCTCAACCTGTTGACAGACTTCCTCAGACGTGTCTATGTTAGGTGACCGTCCTCCTGAATTCTTCCCCTGGCCTCCAGCGGCCCACGGCCTCTTTTGTGCTTAAGGATTTCTAGCCGTCGGGGCTGCCCTGCCTTCCCATCCGGCCTGGCTTGCTGGCACTGCAGCAGCACAGTCAAGGCAAGAGAGAGCGAAGACTAAAGTTGATACACAACTCCAAAGCAAACAGGAGGGGAAACAACATTTCTTAGAAAGCCAAATAAAGCAGAAGCTGCCCTGAGGGGCCTGCCCGTGGCCCAGGATAGCAGCCAAGGTGGTGGGCACAGACCCCCCCGACATAATGGGGAGGCCTGGCCTGTCTGGGTAGCGTGAGAGTGCTCACTAGCACATGGAAGGCCTGGAACAGGTGGGGGTAGACAAGACCGATCGGGGGGAGCCCCACTCAGCTCTAATCAGCTCATCTTAGCTAATGTCAGTTGGACCAAGGTCCTCGGATCGCGGCCTCCTCCTCGTCCTCTCAACCCATCGTTGTTGTGAAAAGTTGCAGAGGCTGACCAACGTGAGGTCGAGCAAGTGATGCCTTCCAGCGGGCGCAGACCCTGGCGGGTCCCGGCAGGCAGCACGGCGGGACCAGGAGGGCCTGTGTTCTAGCAATGAGCAAGGCTGCAGCTGTAAAGCCATAGCTTTCATATCCTCATTTGAATAATGTGTCCTGAATCTGTCACTTTATTCATTCTCCTTATGCTCAGTGTACTCTACATCAACAACAAATTAAGTTGTAAATAAGAGACAATCATCACTTTTGTGTTTAAGCAGCTACTGCATAGAGAATTTCCATGTACGTTCCTTCTCAACGGGGAGGGGGGAGAGGTGCTCGAGTTAGCTTTCAGAAGCATAAATATGGGAAATAAACAAAAACAAAAACAGGAACAGTTGACTGTTGAGAGGAGGGGGGGGAAGGATCCCCAAAAGCCGAGCACCCAGGACCAGCTGAAATGTCGACCAGGAAGCCAGGAGAACGTCTCAGGAGAGCTGGGTCTCCCGACCACCCCGGGCCAGGGCTCGCGGGCGCCCCGGTGCTGTGGGATACAGGGGCCTCCCTAGCCGGACCCTTTGCCCGAGCAGACAGATGACTGCCACACCGGCCTCACTCACACCGTCGCTGTCTCTGAGGCCCCTCACCCAGCGCGCACGGAAATGGAAGACGAGAAAACGCCTACCTTGACGTCGGAGAAGTAGGTCTTCAACATGTTGGAGCTGGGGTAGCGGGTATAAAAGAACATGAGCTTCGCTTTTTTCAAGTGATTGGGGGACAGCCCTTCCTGCATGTGGGACGCAATGGTTAAGGATGGTGTCCTGTCCACGCGAACACCTGCCCCCACCCACCCACCCAAAGAGTCAGGGCCCCAGCACGCCCAGGGGAAGGGCAGCGGCCCTGGCCACGGCATCCACGGCCCACGGCCACCACCGGCTGGACTGACCGCTGCCTGCTGGAGGTGGCCGAGGGGAGGTGGGGAAGCCCCTTCCGCCCAGTCCTTGGGGATGGCCCGGCCGTCCATATTGGCTGGTCTAGTACAACTATAAGTTCACTGTTGCTAAGGAGATAAATGTGCCCCCATGTACAGCTCAACTCTTATCATGAGGGCTTTTTCTTCTTGGCAATTACAGTTCTGTTTGTTCTTCTCTCCACTCTCTGCAGTTTACATTAAATTATTTTATGAACATACGTGGAAATAGAAAATGCATTATTTGCTAATTGTGTCCTTTGAAAGAAGCTCAAACTTGGGAGGGGGTCGTTCTAGCAGAGAGAGAGACAGAAAGAGAGAGAGACAGAGAGAGAGACAGAACAGAGAGGCGTGTCGCTTCTGTGAAAGCAAGATTCCAACCCAATCCAATTGGCCTCTCCTGGATTTATAGTTAACTCCTTTGAGTGGTGGGTCTCACAAATCGATAAGTGTGGGTTAGCAGATCAATAAATGGCCACTTACCCAAAATAAGAAGGCCTATTTATCTGGAAACATCATTACCTTTTAGATCTGTAAACAGCAGCATCTACAACAGTTCCCAGGAGAACGCAAAGCTAACCATAACAATCCTGGCTTCCTGATTCTCCTCAGATTCTTGGCGCTGTGCACAGACTGGGGTAGGGCAGGCTGGTCACATCTGTGCTGCAGCCTGGCCCTGCCATTTCCTCAGCAAATTAATGGCTTTATAATTTATCAGAAATAAAGATGCACGTGGAGAAAATCAATGTGGTCCCCCACAAGGTCAATTAAGGGTCCTTCCTAGAAGCTTCTCTAAGGATTTTCTCTTAAGAGAGAGTCTGGGGAAAAGAAGAAAAAGAAGGAGAAAAAAGAAATACACACACATACTAGCTAGCAAAAATCTCTGCTCTTAGGAAGCGAGGCAAGAGAGCACAGATCTGTGTGCGAGGTGAAGTCGGGGTGGGGTTGAACACGGCATGCATGATTTTAGGATTTTAGGAACAGGGAGACATGCAGGAGTTAGAGAAGCAACATCAAATTAATACTGATAATAAGCTCCTGACAAACTTATAACAGGCTGTTGAACGGAAGACTCATGAGATGTCCCTTTCACATCCTGCCGATTTATAAAAGATCACCTCGGGGCCCTCCCTGGTGGCGCAGCGGGTTAAAGCACAGCACAAAGAAGCTTAAGCCACTTCCGCACGAGTTCGATCCCCGCCTGCCCCGGAGGAGATCCACCTGGCGAGGCAGACCTCTCCTGACCCGCCCGCTGCTCCCCTCAGCAGTGGGCTTCGTCGATCTGCCTGTTCTGCTCCCCACTCTGTCTCTGGGGAGTCCTCTCACCCTCCGCATCTCTGGCCTGTACTGTATCTCACCCTCCGCATCTCTGGCCTGTACCCCAGTTCTGTATGAATAAGTAAATAAATCTTAAAAAAAAAAATCACCTCATACGTAGGAAAGTTCAATGCCCCCACCACCACCACCACCATCTGAAAATAAACAGGGGAGAAAGAAATGGTGATCTCTGGGCACCAGCCGAAGCCGCTTCACGGAACTTGTGTTTTTGTTTGAGATCCTTAATGATTGCAAAGACATAATTTATGGCTGACATATTTTTTGAGTCAAGGAGAGGGCTAGTCACCTCCATGGGTGCAGAGACAACCGGGAGTCGCACTTGGAGACCATCTGTCCAGATGGATAAGTGAAATCATAATGGCAAGCTGTCTCCTAGCGCCTCGTGATAAGACTTGTAGACAAGTCCAGCCTCCGACAAACATTCCCAGATCTGGGTTCTAATCTTCTCTTTTACAGGGCGCCCACCCCCCTCTTTCCCCGCGAATGATAATGAATGTATTCAAACGCGGCCACATCTCCCAAACTGTTTGCCTGTGCTTGTCAGATAGTACACGACTATCAAAACTTCCCGGAGCTTTCCAGACACTTCAATTAGACAGAGATGTTCTGGTTCATTTTATTAAAAAACAAAACAAAACAAAAACCCCAGAAAAGCAAACCTCTCTCTCCCCCTCTCTCTCTCTCTGGATTGGAACTTCGAGGCTTTTTAGCTCATGAAAAAACACGCTTCCCGTTTGAACTTCTCTATTCTCTAGTGTCATGTTCACTTGATAAAATGTTTGCTGCAGATAATACTTGGAATTGATCCGCTCCAACGGAACACAGAATAAATCTCAATCTCTTGATCGCACGATGGAGATAAAATGCCTGCAACGTATAGGTCTCTAATCAACTATTAAAAATAGCTAATGAAACCCGCAAAAGCCAACAGTTAGATAATCCTTTTTTTTTTTCCTCTTCAAAATAAATCTGAACCGACCCATTGGTTAATTTCCCTTTTAAGTGCTTGTGCTGAAAAGGAACCGTCCTTCCAAGAAAGCTCTAGCTGTTTCCAGGATACTTACACACGTACAATGAGTCATGATGGAAGGACTCAGTAAACATACAGCTGTACGGAACACGAGCTAAGCTCCATTCAAGGCCAGGAAAGAAAATGAGCAGAAATAAATATTGAGGAGGTGAGGGGAGGGGAGGAGAGGCAGGCGGGGGAGGGGGATGGAACTCAAACAAGCTTGGTCCTGGCAGCATCATGGCTTTGCTTCAATTCTCTTAGCCCTAGCTTTGTGAAGACAGATGACATTCAATTCTATGTGTAATGCAAAATACACAATAACTGCTGAAACTTGAGCCGGCTGCCAGGTGTAAAAAAAAAAAAAAAAGGAAAGGAAAGGAAAGGAAAAAGAAAAAAAAAAAAAGAAAAGATGATAAATCCATAAATTAATGAAAGACATCTGCTGTGGAATAGAAAAGATCAGAGAAGTGAGGACGGCCGTGTTCAAACAGCCTGTGTGGTGTGTGTTTATCCAGCACAATATAACCTAACCTCAACAGCCAAGAGGCCAGTGAAAAAATAAGGCACAGGGAGAAGAAACCCTCCCCGCCCCCACTGAACCCGGGGCTGTCCAGGGGCCGACAGTTAACTGCCCAGCACTTAAGTGGGCCAGGATGCCTAACAGTTTCTAAAACTCCCCTGAAACCCGGGAATGGCAGCTAACCCTGAGTGCGGCCGGGAGGGACGACCAGACGACCAGGCTGTGCCTTGGGGGAAATAGTCTGGGCTCCCTGGGTAGCCAGGCAGTGTTGGGGAGATGAGCATCTCCGGATTATTTCTGATGGGAGAAATTAATTTTCCTTCACCTGCACGTTTTAAAGCTCTTACTCCTGTTCACCTGAGCGGCTTAAAATGGGGCGCATGCAAATCCCTGGGGCCTCCCCCAGGCTGTTTTTCTTGAGTGTGAAGGACAAGGAGGAAGCCTGTTGGCTGTGGCTTTTAGAATTTGAATAAAATTTAGGATTTGATTAAATTGACTCATTTGCAAAGATACTAAGTCCATTTTTTATATCCAAGATGTGGGCTCCGAGGCCAGTGATCTGGCATCCAGCAGACCCCGCCTGCAGCCCCCACTTTCTTTGTGACCAGGCCGGAGTCCCACTATATACACACAACGGGTTCAGTGGGCAACTCAGAACGGGCGTCTTTGATAAGCTGGTGTTCTTAATAGTTCTTATCTTGGCGACTTTGTTCAAAGAAACAGATGGTGCCCTTTGGAGTGGGAAATAATGGTTCCTTAAGAATTCAACGATCGGTTGCCATTTGGAAAGCCAGGAAGTAAAAGTGAAAGCAGTCGTGACCATCACCACCACCCTCACTGGCCCATTTCACTCCATCTCTGTGGACAGTTTTCTAGAACAGCTGGAGAGCAGATTCCAGAGTGATTTTCTAGGCTGAGAACTGAGCCGAACCTCTCTGCGAGGCCCAGAGATTTCCTTAAGCTCAGACTGGAGAGAACTGGGGCTTCGCATCATCAGGGAGATCTGGGGAGACTCAAGACCAGGAGGATGGAGAGAAAAGTGGATGCCCCCACCTGTTGAGGGGGCATGGCCATAGGAAAGGACCTGCCTGTCTTCCGGAAAGCCCTGCAGCGGTACTGAGAACAGAGTAGAGAGAGAAAGAAAAACAGGAGAGAAAGTCAGAGGGGTTACACTGAGCAGCCGCTGCTCCCCAAGATGCAGATTACTGGGCCACCCCAAAGCCAGGTAGCAGCAGCTGACATTTCCGATCTCCAGTGTCTCCAAAGCGCTGAGGCTGCCGGGAAGCCAGAGGAAAGGTGGCCGGCTCTAGAAGCAGCCAGGGTCTCCCACCAAGCCCAGGCGGCCTGAGAAAGAAAGGGAGTCCTTGCCATTCAAATTCTCGGCATTCCTCAGGGGATTTAGAGAGGGTGAGACAATAAGGGAGCCACCACTTAGCTAGCTGCAAGATTTTCTTCCTGGAAGACCCAACTTGGAGGGAGGTGGGCTGGGGTGGGGGAGGCACAATTATCTGGGGAGAATGAAAGGGCTCATTTCAAAAAAAACATAACTGGCAGTTGGATTTGAGAGAGTTTTCTAGGGCTGGAAGACCTGGCTTCAGAGAGGCACCAAGACAGAGTGTGTTAGAGAGAGCCAGAGAGAGACACACACCAGAGCCAAGAGCTGGGCTTCAGGACAGCACCTGCCTGCCCAGGACAGACGTCCAGCGACATCCCTGTCTTCAGACCTCCCCTCTCCTCACCGGCAGCTGCAATCCAGGTGTTCTCCTGATGTGTGTTGCCTGCGTGTGCCAGGTAGGGGAAGCTCATGGTTGCTGAACTGAACTTTAGGTCCTTAGGAGACAGTGGTGAGCAGAGGCCACCGCCAGCCTCCTCCGAGTCAGGCCCTAAGGTTCCGGTTCTTACGCTCAGAGCTGGAGAACTTCCTCTCCAGGGAATGGGCCCCTGTCTTTGTTCACCTGCCCGAGTGGGTCTCGGGCTGGTGACGCCTGCTTACCTGAGTGAAACCTTCAGGGTCTCCTGGGAGCTGGCTACAAGGCAGACTTCACCCCACCCCACCTTCCCCACCCCCAGAAACCATCACCCCACCCCCACGGCGTGGCTGGGACTCGGTACTGACGAGGCAGCCCCTGAGCTGAGCTTCTAAAATGTCAGTCTCTAGTCATCAAGACGATTGCTCAAAATCCTCAATTTAGCAACAGCCAAACTGCTAAATTTTACATCCATCTGGTAATTGATTCTAACAGAACAGAAACATACCTCCACCTGCCGCCCCCCCAACTCCCGTGTCACTCTTCTGCTCCCCCAAACACCCACAAGCACACTATTTTACCAAATTCACCGGAAGGATGGCACCACAGAGAAAAAGCCCACAGCCGTCCCTTACAAAGAGCGTGTTTTCCGAGGGCTCACAAAAACTCTAACTGGCCTCTGAATATAATCGGCAGGCTGTGGATGTGAGAAACGGAGGAGATCGTCGCCAGCCAGTTTTGAAGTCACATACAGCTGAGTTTTTATATTTAATTGTGCTCTCTGGCTTTCCAAAATAATGTGCTTTGTGTATTTTGGGACAAAGGTTTCTGAACAGAGAACCAGCTGCCTTGGGCCCAAAGAGCAGGCCTTGGGAGAACATGGGAGACCCAGAGCTGCCTGAATAAATCAGTACCTGTCTAATTTCCTTAGAAATCAAGAAACAAAAACAAAGCCCACCCGCCCCCCAACACAAAACACCACCACCCAAGTCTCCCCTGAAACCTGAAGAGCGACTCTGACGCCCCCCTCTCTCCATCCTTTTTTCCTTCCATCTTTCCAACAGCTCAGCAAAGAGAAAGACTAAGAGAACAGGAAGCCCAGAAGAAAACACTGCTGGGGAGCAAAGACGACCCCAGTCCTGGGGGACACCTCGACCCCACCCCAGCAAGCCATGGATTCCAGAGGTGGTTTCGTGGCGCCTCCGGGCATCAGAGGGGCCTGCGGGTTGCTGACAGCCTACCGCTTGGAATAAGAGGAAAGACAGCGCTCTTTCTAGAAAGTTCTGGTGCCTTCTAGAAAGTTCTGGCTCTTTCTAGACAGTTCTGGCTCTTTCTGGAGCACCCAAGAAGCTACTCATCTACACCAGCCTAGGGTTGTGCACACCTGGGGGAGACCCTGCGGGCCTGGAGAGGGCTGGGCCGGCTCCCCCCACCACCCCGGGCCCCCAGGGGAGCAGAAAAGGATATTGCGCTTCCCGAGTAGGGCGAGATTTCAGACATGTCCTGAAGGTCACCGCACTCGGACTTGATGAGCGACAGGGAGAGGCCTTCGGCGGCGCTGGGCGGGTGAGCTGGCGAACAGGGGTGGTGGCTGAGGTGGTGGGAGGACATCTTGGTCCTCAGGCTCGTGGTGTCCCTCGTTAAGTCTAAGGACTCCGGGGAGGCTCTGTCTTTTGCCGAGAACGAGCCGGAGGGAGCACCTAAGGGACTCTGGAACGGGTAGGCCATCAGGGGCAGGGGGAAGGGGTGGCGGAAGGTGGACGTGGTGAAGCCGGCCGTGGCCGAGAGGGGCGACTGGTGGAGGGGCTGGTGGTGGCCGCCGGCGGGGGGCCCGGGCGCCGACTGGTCGGAGGAGTTCTTGCGTACCACCAGGGGCAGGGCCTCGGTCTGGTCGGCGGAGCTGGGCATCTGCACGGCGCCGAAGGTGTCCAGGGGGTTGGGGATGATGACGTCCCCAAAGCATTGCAAGCGCTGGTTGGCCGTGTGGAAGTTGTGGTTGTCGCCGTTGACGGCGAAGCGGGCCTGCGGGATCTGCAGCGGCGGGAAGCCCTGAGGCACCTGGCGAGAGGGCTTGGCGGCGAAGACCTTGACCACGGTGTCCACCACCTGCGCCATGGCCGTGTTGAGCTCCTGCTTCAGCGTCTCAGCCAGGTGCTTGCCCTCCGGCTGCAGGGCGTTGGGGCCCGGGTCGCGCTCCTTGTGGCCGCCTTCCCGCTTGGGCTTGTTCTCTGCCAGCTCCTGCTCGCGGATCAGGGCCCGCGCGCGGTCGATGAACTGCCCCGGGTCCAGCTCGCACAGCTCCGTGTCGGAGCGGCCCACCGAGTCCTGAGCCCGGGCCTCCAGCATCTCGGAGCGCATGCTGTCTTCGGAGAGGTTGCCTTCCTCGTCGTTCTCGGAGTCCGTGCTGTCGTAGATCTGGTAGAACTTCTCCTGCAGCTGGCGCAGCTGCTTCTGCATGTCTTCCAGCTGCTGCTTCAGCTGCCTCCGCTCTTCGCGTTTCTGCTCCTTGCGGGCCGACACCAGCTGCCGGAAACTCTGCTGCTGCTGCTGAGGCAGCTTCTGCTTGCGCTTGTTTTCCCGGTAACTTTCCCGGGGGCTCACCGACGGCGGGGCCAGCTCTCTCTCATTTTCATTGCCCCTTAACGCCACGCTGGGAGAATGGCTCATCCCGCGAATGATGTTCTCCACCCGCGCGCGCTTGGCTCTCAGGTGCTCGTCACAGAAGCGATCCACGTCGAACTGGCTCATGGCGGGCCTGCCAAACGGCGAAAGACACTCGGGGGGGCTGTCTCGCGAAGAGTTGCTGCATATATCTTCCTGGTGCACCTCGGAGCCGGTGCTGGAGAGGCCGCTGGCTTGGAAACTGGGCTCTGTACCTCCGTTTTTGGTCATGTTATTTTTCAGCAGCTGGGAGATGATCGTCGCCCCTGGGAAAGGCATCATGGCGTCTTCGTAGGAGTTGGCCCTCTTCAGCAGCTTGCGGAGCACGTTGGATTTCTCCCCGTCCGGGTGTTGCACCACCGAGTACTCCACTTCCTGCTCTGAACCTTGCGGATTCATGGCGCTGAAGAGCGTGGCTCTGGCCTTAGCAAAAAACGCAGACGCGGTCCCTACCGTCCTCTTCACCCCAATGTCAACTCTTCTCCTCTTGGTTTGCCGGCTTAAGAGGCCTCTGCTGTCATGGTCAGGCATCACTGGGCAGTTATTGTGCCATCTTCAAAAGCTCGTCAGCTGGGCACAGCTCAAGAATCCCGGGACCCTGGCCAACAGAACAAAAGGGCTGATGAATCATTTTCTTTAAATTTCTCCAAATTTCCTGACCTCAATCCTGAATCCAATGCAAAATGCATAGGCTCTGGGATTTATGGCACATTACAATTATTGCAATTTATTATGCACTCTGCTTGAAATGAAACATTTTTAAATATTTCTGCTCCACTGGTTTAAGATGGATTAAGATTAAAAAAAAAAAAAAAAAAAAAAGCCCGAACTGCTTAAGCACCAGTAATATGATTCTCTTTTCACAAATGCCTAAAATGATACTGTTTATCTTCAGAAGAAACAGTAGATTATAAGAACACAGCCTCTGACAAGCAATTGATTAGATTTGGGGCGTTGAGGAGAGAAGAGGCGAGTGGCCTACCCTTAAGAAATAAGGCTCAATTTTGAGAGAATTGGGAGGTGAGAAATGTGGACGAGAGACTCTATCTCTGCCTTGCAATCACTGCGAAAGGAGAAACACTCTCAGACAAATGCAGATCTCTCACACCCCCCTGGATGAAGCCGTATTTCCAGATCTTGTTGGGAAATGCATGCACAGATACTCACTTCACAGATCTGCTTATTTAGTGACGATACACACTTTTATTAGCGAAACGATCCTAGCTGTATCTGTTGCTAGGTTTTCATGTAAGCATGAGGATATTTCTAAATTTTCCCAGTGACTGAAATTATGATCAAGTTGAGCTGAGTGCAAAGGAGAAGGTTGTCACATTTCAGAGATCACAATGTGGAACCTGGAGTTCCGCAGGAAAAACACTCCTTCAGCCCTACTTTGCTTCTGGCAAAATTGGTTCCAAATAAGACTTCACCTGCCTGGAGAAACTCTTTAACAGAAAGCACCAGCGAATTTATTTCTCTCACCAATGAAAGGGGGAAAAAAAAAACAAAACCACACAACCAAACTACTGAAAGAGGACACAGAAGAGACACGATCCAGCGTGTGAGGAATATTACCTATTTCTGCGCCTCATGTCCCATTGTTTCTTGGGAACACAATATAAAAAGAGAACATCCTTCCTTGCATTTGACAAAAGGCACTTGACATATTTTATGGCTTTATTCACGAGTGATGCTAGCCCCAAATTCTGTCTAAATGGAAGATGTCACATCTCTTTTGCTCACAATTATCATTTGATGAGGAAAATGAAAATATTTTTTCACACGGGGTTTATCTAATGTGAAACTTCACGTTTGCTTAACAGAGCACATCTTCACAATAACAGAGTCCACTGCCAAAGGCAGCGTGCAGAGCCCTGGAACTAGTCCCATCTCTTTCGGTTCACCTGTAAAAACATCTACGCGCTCCCTACGACTGCATCTGTGGCTAGTTTTAAAGAATGACTATCCATGCAAACAGGCATCATTTCAGCATGAAATAACCTGTAAAAATCAAGAAAATGCTCAACGCGTACATGGCGATGTGCCTATTTTTTTTAAGCCTCTAAGATTTCATCTTCGAGAGTCCTGGGAGCATCTGTGCTTCTTTAAATAATTTTCATGTGCTGGAGGAGAAAATACTTGGGCTATGCTCGAGGGTAAAAGCTCCTGAACTTGGACTGGACAGAGAGATGGAGAACTTCACCATGGGACTGAAAATCAAAGTCAAAAGGGATGGAGACCCTTTCCACGTGAAAATAAATAAGCCACCAAAAACGATCACGCACAAAAATGCCATGGAAAATATTTCACGAACACGGCAGAGCTGAAATGGCAGGAGTAGGTGTCAGGTAGGTGAGAGAGAGAAAAAAGACAGAGAGACAAGAAAAAGGGTGATTTCTTCACAAGACTCATGGGGAGGGGAGGGGTCAGTCTTGGCAAGGTGGACAGTGAGGTTGTGTATACAACTCAAAAAAGAAGAAGAAGAAGAAGAAGAAGAAGATGGAAAAAAAAGAGTTCATTGCCATTATTAAAAAAAAAATCACATCTCTTCTTTTTGGGTGCAAAGGCATTTTTTTCTCTTTCTTATGACCTGAGAAGCACACAGATCATCTCCCCAAATGCTGAACTAACTTTCTGCAGGATTTTTCCCCTCCTCTCTTCACCTGCCATCCCAGCTGGGTTTCCCTCCCGCCCATTCTGCGGGAAGAACACCTCTGTACTGTGACAGAGACGCTGAGAGGCACAGGCTGGTTCGGGAGAGGACAAGGTCATTCCTAGGCATCCTGCCTCTTCCAGCTGCCACGCACCTCTGAGTCAACTGGCTTCCTCTGCCCTGGCCTAGGTATCAACAGCTGCATCCCTGCCTGGTGTCACAGCCAAGAGAGGCTCTGTTCTTCCTGGGGGTGGGGAGAAGGCATATTCTTCTCCACGCAGGAGAAGAAATGTTAATGAAACCTGCCGGTCCTGTCTTTTAAGAACAAAACAGCCTGTGAATGCCTCCGGACTTCACCAAACGAAACAGACTTTGGCCGTTTTGGACTGTCAATAATTTTCGATGGAATAGTGTTTCAGGGGTGTCGGGGCTCAGAGTGTTCTGGGTCTGACATGTCCAGCTGATTCGGAACAGATAAGACAGAGCCCATGGGGTGGGGGGAAATCGCAAAAACGATATAATCCAGCAAGACAAGGCATTATATTAATAGGCATGATTAAATATCTCCTCACATACAGCTTAGCTGGGGTCTAAACTTAGAAATAAGGGGGTGGGGGTGTCCGTGGGGGTTCATAACCCATGGGAGCTCTAGGCAAGAGGAAATGTCTCTCAGTGGTCAGCTAGGGCTTTCATAAGTAAGACACACATGTCAAATGTGGTCACATATTTACCACGTAAGAAATGCACAGGATGATAACGTCTATCAGATCTCGCAAAAACACCTCTTACGTGTTTCTGCGTTTTCCCAATTTACAACTGGGTTCCGCCCTGCTCATTAAGAATTTAAAAAATTCCTTCCTCTCTCACCCGAGGCCCTCAGCCACAACACTTCCTCCCAAACTAGCGTGGCTTCTTGCTGTATTTTTCTTTGAACGCTGATTTTTGGGCCCCACGAGGCAACGGGAAACCTCATCAGCAATCGTGGTGAATCTCCGAGTCCTCAAGTGAGCAGGAAAATACTGATGCAGAAATTGAACCCAAAAGTATTCTCGACTGGGAATAATCTTCCTGTATGTCCCTCGGTCATGACTGTGGGTGTCTACAGAGGAGACTATTTTCTTTAATGAAGCATCGTGTTTGGCACCTGACGACATACGAGCTCCAGTCATTCTCCTCCAATGGCTGGCTCCACTCAGCAGAGTCGCCCAGAAGCAGAGAATGTGAGAACAAACACCCAGGTGTGGGCCATTCAGATCTGAACTGTCGCCGAACGAGGCTTCACTAAAATCGGAACGATCTGACGTTCTATTCAACAATCGGACACTCCTACAGATGCTGGTGGCTTCCTGTTAGCAGAAAAGAATTTTCACTGAAGAATTTCACAGCAGTCCAGTGTGAAGTACAAAGGGGTGAAGTGTTCTGCTCCAGCCAAGAGGTTATTTTGGGGACGGGAGGTGTAACCTCTTGCATCTATGTGGAACCCAGTTTCTGGATAAAGAGTGTTTCACTATGGGAATTATCCAGATAATTCAGATTAATCTTTTATGAGACAGAGAGAGTGGGGAGCGTGAGGTTGGTGTGGGTTCCTCTTTGGGTTACTTTGATTATTTAATTTATCTTTGTTGATAAAATTATGTGAAGAAATTGCTCAAGCCTATTCTTTATACTTCTAGAAAAAAACCCTCTGAAGGGCTCTCAGTCTACTTGGGTCAACCTGGTTATAAAATTTCAAATAGAGTATGACTAACAAAGAACATTTAAATCTATCTAGAAATCAGTAATTCTGGGGGGGGGGAATCAGGTGATTTGATTTAGGGAACACCCCACGGAGAATCTCCCCTCACCTCCAAATCTACTGTTAAGCTTCCTCCTGTGACTGTATCCAATAGTTCATTTCTGCTAATTGGCAACTTTTCCTTCAGAGACGTTTCTGTTGACCGTCAAGGTAAGGAAGTTTGTAATGTTGATTCTGAAGAAGCCTAGGTTAATACTTCAGTGAGCTAAGTTTGTGTGGTCAGAATCTTATCATCAGGTTTTTACATTTCCTAACATAATACAGTTCTCAAATCACCACCATTTCATTTCAAATTCTTCTACTCTATCAAAATTCCAAACATTTTCGCCTGCAAAACCCAGCACATTTCTGAGACATGTCTAAAACATTCATTTTGACTTATTTTAAAAGTAATAAATTCCTCAAGCTAGTAAAGAAAAGAGTGAGAATGACTCAAAAGCCTTTTTTCTTTTCTTTTTGGAGAAAACGGAAATACTCTGCTTTTGAAGCCTTCGAACTCACGAAGAAAAAGGTTTCAGAAATTCCACACATAATAAACTTCAAGTTCTTTCCAGTGAATACAGGTACCTACTTAGAAACCCATGGTCACAAACCAAGCACAGTCCTCTTCCTCTTCTAACATCAGGAACATTTTATAATATCTCTTTAATCTGCCATCGAACAATTCTAACAAAATACAGACCATCTCGGAAATAACAGAAGCAATTCTTAAAAACACCAGATTATGGGTGGAAGCTCACAAATGTTGCTAGTAGAGAAAAGAAGCCAGGAAGTGAAAGGTGAGAACAAAGATCCACATTAGGTCTGACTGTCCCCCCACAAGGTGGTGGTTAAACTAAACAGGATCCTGTCACAAAAATATCCCTCAGTGTCTCGTTAGAGAAGTCCCAGTTCAAAAAGCAAGCATGTCCAAGGATGATATTTTAATTATGAAAGAACTTCAAATGCAAGCGAGGAAAGAATTGGGGTGGGGGGTGATCCGATGTGTGAGTCTAGAGAATAAGACACTCATCTCTTGTGCATCGCTCAAGTTACAGAATCAAGCACAGACCTCATTCGCCGGTGAGTCCATTTCTATACAACTCAAGAAGCAGCCAATTCAAAGGAAAATGGAAAAGGTCAACTTTTAAGATCCCAGCGACAGTGCTTC